AAAAAAAAAAAAAAAAAAAAAAACTAACATCAATCATTTCCTCATTCAAAGGTTAAGCGTCATATCAATGCAATTGTTTGCTAAACGAACTCCAGGTGAATCCTCACGTAATCTTCTCCCTAAATATCCTCGTCATTTCCTAATTCAAATAAAACTCAATAAATAAAAAGATTTATGTTAATTTTTGCCACATGACGCTAGTGTACCCTAACACTTACAGTTTGGACTGCAGATGAATCAATTCTAGATCAGTTGCTAAATCTTGGTAACGTGGCACAACTCCAACCGATCATTGGGCCTCCCATTGGACATGTGGCAGGTCCCCATTAAATTTTATTTAAGGAGTAAACAGATATAAAGCTTGATGCATAACTCTTTGATGAAATTCCCTGTTTTTTTTTTTTTTAATATTGATGAAATCCTTTTTAAACGTTTATGTACTTCCCTTTCCACATTAATAAATAAGAATTTCACTAGTTTTACCTATAAAAAATCATAACTAGGACATGGTGATTATCTAATTTATAGTCAAATCACATTTAAAACAAATTTCTTTCCCAATAAAATTAAGAGATATCGAGTTTCAATTATAGTTAATTGTCTCTTATTATATAATTTAAAATAAAAAAATTTTAATTAATAAATAATTAATGTGAGCATATATGTGCCTCCTAGTTTTTATTTCTAACTTTTTCTTGTGTAATTTAGTTGTCCCATTTGACTTTTACTTGTAATTTAACTCAAGCTTTTTTTATTATGCTTCTTATAAAACTTTTTTACATAGCATTTTATCTAAAAATGTAAATTTATCATTTTTAATTAATTTTAATTAATTTAGTCTATTATTTGACTAATTTTAATTGATATATTATAAATTTTAGTAAATAAAAATAACACTATAGTCACAATGCAACATAACACAACATAGACAAACGACATTCTAATAGTTTTATATAAAAAATAAATAATAATTAAAATTTTTATTTTATACTTGATTCTTATTGAGAAATTTCATTTATTCAAAATTATCATTCTTTTTTTTTTTTTTTTGATATGTTGAATGATAAGTTATGTAAGAAAGGATAGCCTTCACTTCAAATCCTCCAAAACAATTCTTCCCACCAAAAGTTCTACCCTTCAATTTAGAAACATGAATCCCATGCTCACATATAATTAATCAAATACTGCCTCCTAGCTAGGGTTAGGTTAGGCTCTCTTCTCTTCTTAGAAGCCTTCTCTTTTCTTCTCTTTCCTTGACACCACAAGCCATCTTTTCCTCCACATTGGTTGTGTTAACCCCTCCTCTTCCTTCACACTAGTTGCACAAGCCCTAAATTCACGTAGCCCCTAAGCTGTGCATCTTATACCCTAACATCATCTTTGCCTACTAAAACAACTTGGGCTAAAGCCTTCCACTAGCTTAACAGCTCTTCAAGCTAAGATCCATAAGCCCTCAAAAGCTCAAATTCAAGTTGTTAGTAGTAGTTGGTCTCCACACTTATGTATCAAACTCACCTAAGTCCCCACCAATGTAGGATTTGGAGCATTACATCTATGCCATTGCTTGAGCCTCAAAGTTATAAACAACAACATTCGAACCACCTTAAGCACAATAATATCCTAGGCTTACTGGCGATGTTTGACCATGAGGGTGGCCAGATCTAGGAGCCTAAAACCAAGAAGATGGGTCATGTTTTGTAAAAGACATTGAGAAGTCTTAGAAGGGTTTGATCCAATCATTGAGTGAGGAAAGAGAGATGATGGAGAAGAGGAAGCCAAAAATTGATGCAATTTAATATGGGAGGGGGCCTAAAGTGAGGTTTGATGATTCAAGTAAGCTAATGGCCATATAGGTGGATGTTTTTCATCCATCTATAACTTAGTAGATCATCTAAGCTTGGATAAAGCTTTGTAGTACCAAGAGACATTGCATCTCCATCTTCTCCAATCTTCCATGCTAGAATTGAATAATAAAATAGATGTGATTACTAGCAATGACAATAAGTTTTAGAGTAATCTTTCTATATTGTTATGAAACTCTATTGATAACCCTTTGTTGTATACCACACCCTCTGTTTATTTTTAGTAGTCATAGTTAACTTTTAACTTTGTGGACATTAATTTCAAATGAAAATTTAACAACTTCTACGAAGAATAATTGAATTTTTTTTTTCTATATGAAGTTCATGTCAAGTATTTTTGTTTGATTAAAAAAAATTAATTATCATTTATATAATATATTAAATTTTCATCTACAATTCACATCCAAAAAGTAAAAAAAAATTAAACTAAATCTACTTAAAATAAATAAAGGAACTAGTATTTAAATGTTCCCAATTCTTAATTATTTTATTTGTAAGAAACACTGTTTTGGGGGTGTTGGTGATGTAAGTGGAAGAGTCAGCAACTGGGACGATGTGGAGGCTGGCTAGGACGACACTCGAGAAAATGAGGGGTGTTCTTTCGGCAGCACCCGTCTCATGTGCGGAAGGCTACATGTTACGGGCCATCCCATTTTGTTGGGCGATGATATCTTATAGTGAACTTTTCAACGAAGCTTTTCTTTTTAAAAAAGATAAATCTTCTAGCCAAGCCAGTAAAGCTGGGCAGCAATGGCAGACTCCAAGGGTTTAAGATGATTACCCAACTATCAACAACATGATGGCAAGAAGTTGTATGTTGTTAAGGAGGGGCAGCTAAGATGGAAAATACATGCGGTTCAAAGATTATAACTTGAGGATCACATTCATACATAAATCATTGTAACATAATAATAACGACGATAAATGTGACCTCCTTCATCTCTAGTGTATATCTTTACTCTATAACGAACAATCCTCATATTGAAAACGAAAAGTGCAGCAACTTCACTCTTGAAATTCTTCGAAGGACAAAAGGATAAACTTGAGAAGGGTGATGGAAGAAGGAAGGGTGACCGCTTGGGAGTCTATGAATGGAGTACTTGATCCTGTTTTTGATGCTAACTTGCAACCTTAATCGTTTGATGCTCAAGAAGAATTACCTGGAAACTAAAACTGCAACATGTTGTTTCCCGACCATAATATCCTGCAAATATGGAAATGTTTTGCAATGCTGGGTGATATTCTGCAATGTTGGAAAATGTTCTGCAGTGTTGGAAACATAGGAAATCCGAGAAAAGTGGTGATTTCCGGGTGGTTTTAGTGTGTAGAGCAATAGGTCGAAGATGGAATATTTTTTTTAGAGGACAAATGGGGGTTTTGGTACGTGAGGAAGAAAGACTGATGTTGTGTGTCAAGATTTGTTTTTGTGCTACATGCGTATATATCCTGGAAAATGAAGGGCAGATAACATATATATGCAATGGCATTGTTGTAATTTCTAGTTGATGATTGATAAGTGTGCAGATATGTTTAGGTGAGCTGTCGAATTTTTGGTGGCTCCAAGCACTGTTGGCAGCTCTATGACAATGGCATCATGAATTGCCCAATGGTTCTAGCGAAACTTTGCTAGTTCTAGCGAACAACTAAAAATTGTATATTTCTAGCAAGGCCTCTAGCCACACGAAATCCCATCTTTAGGGAGGTGCTTGAGTGTAGCCGGCAAAAACGACACCTGCATAGGATTTGGTAGGTTCCCTAAGCTCTGCATGAGATTTTGGAAGATTCTGCAAGCAAATAGAAATCTTTTATGATAGTTTCCAAGGCCATGGAACTTGTGCAACCACCCTTGCATCAAATATGGTTGCAAGTTGCTGATGGTGATCAAGACAACATCTCTAGTCAGTTTCTAGCGGGATTTTTAGCCTTTAGTTAGCATCAAATGGTATTGTTCAGGGAATCAAGTTTACTTCCACGTCTTTGCCACCCAGCCCTTTTTAGCAAAGTTGGGCAGCATCGCCAATGCCAAGCTTCCCTGGCGCGAATGCCTTGCTTTGCTAGACCGACAGCCTTCATCCATCAATGCCTGCCAAGCCACTACTCCCATAACTTATCCCGAGCAATTCCCATGAGCTTGGATTCATGAGCTTGTGTTTATCTATAGTAACAGCAAAGCACATGTGAATATAGGTTCAAGTATTTAATCATAAGAAACATGTAAATATATGCAACAGAGAAAGGAACGCCCTTGTGTATTAGAGGAGGTTATGTGGATGAATGTTCACTACTTCCATTTATTTACTGGTCATGGAGAGCATTAGTATATTGTTGTTGTACATGACTGGTGTTGCGCCATAATGAGGAACAAGTGATATGGGTGTGTACTACGGTATCGTTGTCCCGAGCCAAGTTTCGTTGGCCGACGATACCTACTAATACGTAAGACATAGAAAATATGTGTTATGAGTCGAGATTACGAACAATCAGTAATTTTGTCCCTTTGTGTAGAAGAGTGATAATGCGCATGACCTCCAGCCATGTTATGTAGGTATTGCAAGGTCAGTCATGAATAGCTTCCCCATAGCCAGAGGGATAAATGTGGCTAGCTTTGCTCATGGTTAGAGCGTGAACTGTGTGGAATTGGAAGAGCATTCCCACCAATCTGCCAAGCCGCAAAGGGGTAAAGCTCATTAAACCAGACTTTGCCATAACGATGAATATGTATAGAGAAATGTGGAGTTGTCTCCATGGAAGAGGGATGCCAACCGCATCCATGGCCTTCAATACGATAAGGTGTGATGCCATTAACAAACGTTGGCCCTTCTTATCATACTTGCACCGTCAAAGGGTGGTCCTGGTTGTTGTTGCCCACCAGGCATCGCACCACCATGCATAGGTGACCACCAAGGGACCGCCGGTCACTACTTGATGGATTTTTATCGTTGGAGGGTAGCCATCCAATCCGATCACAGGGTTGCAACTGTTACCTACCTCACGCTAATCATACCGAGTTGTGCTAACTCTTTGTCTGTCTCTGGGAGCCAAGGAGATAGAATATGCAGAAATCTGACCCTTTGTCCGTTGTCGGGAGTTAGTGTAATAAGATATGTGGAAATGCGTAGCTTGTTGCCCATTGCTGGGGGCTAGATGAGATAATAAATCTGGCCCTTTGTCCATCGTTGGAAGTTATGTAAGTGTAATAGGATCACCTCATTGTCCATTGATGGGAACCAGTGATAGAGATATGTAGAGATAGATGCTTGGCCTATTACCCATCGTAGGGAACTATGTAGATTAGATTGTTGTCCTTTGATGGGAGACATGTAGTAAAATAGGTTTTTTATCCGTTGTTGGAAGTCACAGGACAGTAGTGAATATCGTTACAGAGGACATGACCATCAAGAAATGCCCAGCCATATCATCAAAATAGATCTATCTATGTCTGGCCATGTATGTGAAAATATATGCTAGAGTAAGTTATATTTTGCGATGTCTCCAGCGAAGTGCGTGAGTGTCATTTCTAGTGATGCTGATTCCATTGTAACAATTAGCAGAAAATAGGAACTACATGTTCAATGTGGGAAATGAGCATTGTGGCCCCTTTCTAATGTGGATCCGCATACGTCATTGGTTTTGCAACCATACAAATTCATCCCTCAACATTAACCCCCCAAACGAATGAAGTTGTGCCAACAAGTTTGGCTGCTTAGCGTTAAGGGAGGTAGATTACCGAGGCATTCTCCATATGACCACGGGCATGCTTAGACGACGTAGAAATTAGATAATTAATGTGGATCCCCTTGTCGAAGCAGATGTGATTCAAAGGACTTAGGATTGCCAAGACTTGGCTCCAGTTAGGTAAGCTACTGATGGTGAAATAACTTTGACAGAGGCCAAGTTGTGTTAAGCTCGACTCTATAAAACAACAACAAGCATAGGTGAGTCCAATATGACCTTGGCTACCATTGATGAGTAAGGCGTGGGCTTCAATGCTATAGATAGGGTCTCAACACAAATGTGAGCCAAGCAAGGTCGAAATAAAACTTTGGGTGGTAGTGATTTCGACTGTTGTAGATATGAGTCTAGTGAACAAGCTTTCGGTCGCATCCTTCTCAAGATTCTCGCACGGGCTACACTGTCTTTCTTCTTGGAAAAATATTACATTTTAAACAGTCACTGTAGATTTTTCTTTTTAAAATACTGTTCACTATAGTTCAGATTTGAAGGGAAATCCAAAGTTATTCCCCAGAGAGGTTTTCAACAGTTAGAAAGAAAAAGTAACTCCCTTTTTGAAAAATTAAAGAAATTGAGCCTTCCCCAAAAATCCTATTATGATGGCACACATAAAAAAGGGAGAATTTAAAGGAGATTGCATACATGCATATCCATCAAGAAAATGTGCACCTTACTTGCCATCCCCTTAATTATTACTGGCCATGTTGATGAGCGACAAGTGGCAAAGTGGTTGGCCAATGCACTTAATGCTGCCCTTAATTTCCCTTTTTGCCATTCTCCTTGTTCCTTAGTGAGCCTTTCAGTTTTCCCCTTCTTTTTCATAAAATTGTCAAACTTTTCTCTCTCTCCTCTGCGTTCCCAATTTTCATCATCTTCTTCCATGAAACCTCTGGGTTCCTTAACAAAGTGACCAGATTTTTTCTGAGAAGGTTAATCTAGTGCACAAATTTGACAAAATCCCTTTTCTAACCGAGGTAATGATGGATCCCTGTTTCTCTACCTCGTCCTTTTCTTTTTCTTTTTCTTTCTTTTTTTTTTTTTTTTTTGTGGTTGCATGCTGCAGATTTCTTGTGCTTCCATTAATCTAAATCTTTATTTTGTCTCCTCCTTTCTTTCCATAAAAAACCTTAGGAGATGACCAATCCTTATCCGACCGACGGAGTGCAGCCGTACCACAACCTGTGGTACACTTTTCATGACGACTTTTTAGAATTCAACGGTTGGTCGGCGACGCGCACTCGAGAAGTAGAAAGGTCTAGTTTTGCTTGAGGCTTTCAAAGGGAGTGACATCAATGCGACATGGTTTCCTTCGCCACTGGACGTAATGCGGGCAAGGCTTGAAAGGTGAGATTTGTTGCCGGTACCAATCCACTTTTCCTTCCCATCTAATAAGATGGAAGATTGGTCGGGTTGGGCTAAGGAGATGCTTGCTGAGAACGGCTTTGTGGAGATATTGCGTGCTGTCGGGATTCTTAAGTTAGTAGCTCTAAGTCAGACTCTACAAATCAGTGGTAATGTGGAGTGCCTCCGTCGTTTGGTGAAGAGGTGGTGCATGAGTACCATACTTTTATCCTTGCTTTTGGGGAGGTTATTGTGACTCTGGAGGATGTGGCAAACCTGATGTTGTTGTCTATTGTTGGGGAATAGGATCCACGGCACATAGCATTAACGTTAGAAGAGCGTGCCACCCTAGTAGCTTTGAAGAAAGAGATGAGGAGAAACGCCAATGCTCTTCTGGCTCGTGGAGGAGAGAGTACAACATTGATTTTTCGACTTAGATGCGGTACTTTTGAATGGGCAAAGGTAAAGATAGCCCATATGTACGTGTAGCTTTCCTTATAGCTTGGTTGAGTAAGTTTGTCTTTGAGGGCTTCTCAACCATGAGATTATGGTTAAGTGTATTCCTCTGGCAATTCCATTGGTTGAAGGTGTGAAACTCCCTTTAGCCCCGCTAATGCTAGGTACGCTCTATCACATGCTTGATTTGCTCCGCTTTGATGAGATTCTTGGTGCCAACTATTACATCATTGAGTCACGTGTATGTTTGTCTTTGCTGCAAATGTTTACACGAGAGAGATTTCACTCATATCATTATGGCCGTGTCACTAGTGGAAAGGCTTTAAAGGAATATCCCATGGCAAAGTGTGGTTACACCAGCGAAACAACTCCATTAGCCTGCTCTTGCATAGGAAAAAGGAAAATAAAGGGATAGATAGTCCCGAAAGTTGATGGCCTTCTTGATGACTATGGCAGCTTTACTTTTCATGCGTACAAGACAATGCTAAGGACATTTGCTCCACTCGAGGTAAGCCTCTTTGATAAGACACTCCTAACGATGCCTGAGAGTCAGATTGTGGAATTTACCATGGGGAACTCAAGTCATCTGGAAATGCTGGCGGTTATCATGCCATCTACGCTACTATGCATTACATGGTAGAGGACGTGGAGTCTAGAGTGCTACTATCTGGAGAAGGTTGCAAGACAGTTTGGTTATGATCAAGATGTACCTCATGTTTCTTCTTCGGACAAGACAGATTGGAATAAGGCCATGCAGCCTTACATTGATGAAGTTACCACAACCATGTGGAGCGAGGGTGCTGCCACACTTAGGTTTTTTAGTATTGCGATAATGTCAACCAGGTTGTCCCCCATGCTGGAGTATTGGGGGACACTGCTGAAGAAGTTTGAAGCTTTCATTCAATCATTATCGGAAGTGGTGGAGTATGATCCTACTTCCCTGGATTGTGAATGTCTCTTTACCCATAGTAATTTTTTCTTGAGTTATTGCAACAAACACTCTTGGGGGTTTCTGACTAGGGAGGATAATGGATAGTGGGTACCCATCTATCCTCCCATTCGTGGCATGGCAAAAGAGGAGTATAACCAGGCTGGTGCCGTTGGTGAAGAACTTGGGTAGGAGGCAGCTGGCGGCGTTGGGGCTGAAGGTAAATATACTCTCTTACTTCTTCTTCTTCTTTTCTCTTTTTCTCTTAAGCTTCGATTCTTCTTCCATCTAAGAACTTGGCTGGATTGGATTAGTGTTGAAGAATGCTTCATGGTCCCATGCCTTTCTCATGACATTGCAGAAAGAGCCGATGAAGCTGCCCCTCCCAAGAGGTCGATTCTAGGTAAAAGGAAAAGTGTTACCCATCCGCCTAAGAGTAGAGCATGTAGAACTTCTACTTTGCCAACCAGCAAGCAAAGTAAGGCTAAAGCGTCAACACCCTTCAAGGCCAAAACTGCCAAGGAAAAAGATACAAGCCATGATAGTAAGAGTAATGAGAGTTCTTGGGGTGATCCAAATCCTGTCGTGATTGACCAGATCAAGAGATTGAGACTCGTTCATGGTGGTGGGTGCTTGGGTGAGAAGTATTATGATTCGAGTGCTTCATTCCAGGTAAGTGTACTGCTTGGTCTTTCGTCTATATGCCTTTTGGTCGTTATTGACTTCACTAAGGATCCCTTGACATGTGACTAAATATTTGTATGAGCAGTCACCAGCTTCCAGCAAAGGCTTTGGTCTGATCCACATTCCTAGTGACGATAAAGTTTTGTCTAAGTCTGAAGAGGCTAAGCGAGTGGAAGCCTTGGCAATGAACATGGAGGAAGCCTTGGCAAACCTTGAAGTTCGTTGGAAAATTTTGGCCAGTGAAATAGGTGAGCCTCCGCTTCCTGACAACATACTTAATGTTGTTGACTTTATCATTAATTGGAGTGATCCTGCAGCCTTCACAGTTGAGTCGGCGAAGAAGGCTAAAGCCAGCAAAGTTCCGCCACAAAAGCCTACTACGGTAAGCTGTTTGGACTCGTCCCTTATTTTGAGAAATGCCAAAATGTGCTTGTTAAGCTTCCCTTCTATTCTACTGCAGACTAGGGGAGGTGTGAAGGTTTCATATGGCACCCCCAGTATGACAAAAAAGCCTGAAACAGCGAAGACTCAACCAGAAGTGATAGTATTGAAGTATGAGCCCCTACAGTTCCATAAAAATTGAAAATCATTATTAATAATTACTGAGGTAAAGTCATTAACTTTTCTCTCCTTGTGTACAGTCGCGTCCCATTAGCGAACTACCTCTTTTCAAGGTTGGTGACTTTGAATTGGTTCTCGGAGGATTTATACCAATGAGGAAAACTGGTGCTGCCATCAATGAGAAAGGTACTTGAAGCCATTCAATGAAATGGTTTGGATTTCAACACCTTGCTTGGTTGAACAACATATTTCTTTGTTGATCAATCATGCCTCCATTCACTTCACTAGGTGTTGAGAAAGGCGAGGCCAAGGTTGCAATCGGTGTTAGTAAAGAAAAGGGAAAGAAGGTCACTAAGGTAATCAGCTTTGATTCCAACAAGAGCAGTAGCCATAAGTCCAGTAGCGATGTTTAAGAGTGAGAATGGTTCCAAACAGAAGGGCAAAGTTATGGGCTTTCAAGGCAGCATTGACATGAATAGGGTTACCCTCGAAGAATTTGAATCGAACGTGGACGATGTTGCAAAGAAATCTGTCTCCAGTTGAGGCAAAATGGACACTAGCACACCAATCATGAGCTCAGCAAGAAAGTTACTGACCTCGGTGAGGCTGAGCATAGTAGTCAGTCGTCCACGGCTTTAGCTAAGTTAGGTAGGATCGATGATTCGATCATGAGGCTGCTCAAGAATCTTGATGAGATGAATGAGTATAGGGATGTCTCACTAGCTCAGTTTGGCTTAGTGCCCCTGGGTGGTTCACGAGCAATGTGCAAGTTTGCAATGCCCGCAATGTTGGAAACGTGAGTGCGTCATTTGTTAGACATCTTTCCAAATCTAATGATGCACAACAAAGTTAAGAAAGTGGTGGTCAAGGATGCCTTCTCAATTCTTTGTGCGACCATGCGGCACATAGAGGTAACTCCTTTTGTTGAAATGAATGAGGACTTTTTCTATTTGTGTAAGGATGCCCTTGAGGATGCTGAGAGCATAAACTTTGAAGTCAATGCCCTTCGCACACATTTATCAAACTTGGCAACGGCATACCTTGGGATGACTAAGTTCGGCATGGCCGAAGGTGACATGGCTAAGAGCTTGGATGAGCGAATCAAGGAGCAGGTGAAGCATATTGAAAAGATGGAGAAGTCTTTGGTCGAGACAAAAGAACTTGTCATCAAACTGGAAGAAGGACTGGTGTCAGCCAAGGCGTACCTAGGATCGCTCAATTAAGAAAAAGAACGTTTGGACTCCAGTGGTGTGATTGAGTTTTGCCATGCCTGTATGGAAGTTGCCAAAGTCTTTGGAGACAAGCTGGACCCCTTTCTACCATGAGTCAGCCTCAAGTCCCAACCTTCTCTTCATTTTTATTCCTTTTCCTTTATAGTATGTTGATTGTTGGCCATGTCACCATGATGTAACCCTTTAGTCATGTTTGTTCTGAGTTGAACATCTTTGCTTCCAACGAAGTCTGGACCTTGTTGCTTGTTTATTTTCTTGCTCGTTTCTCTCTGTTATTCTGATATATCAACTGGACAGACAAATTTGTATTGAAGAAATGGATCAGGGAAGCTGTTCTAGATCATGTTATATGATGCACTTCTTCTTTTTCTCTCTTCTCCCTTTTTATTTTTTTTTTTGAACACTCCTTGTCCTTTTATAGTGGTAGAGCAAAATGAAAGGAGTCTAAATAAGCTGATACATAAAGCGCCAAACACAATAAGAGAGTGCTATTTGCACCTTACATTTGAGAATACACCATGGATGAAATTAATTCTCTTGGCTGAAATAAATGATAATGCCAGAGATAAAATTACAAAAATAGATGAGGTTGGTGAAGCCTAACAATAGTATGGCTTGAGCCACTTAGTATTCACGGGATTTGACAACGATTCTCTCTCGTGAGTTTTGAGGCAATAATATCTGCTATCATATGCTTCCGTGATGACGAAGGGACCGTCCCAGTTGGCAACGAACATGGATGGTCTAACAATGTTCTTTCTTACATGGTTAGAGGCCTTAACGACCATTTTTCCAACTGTGAAAACTTTAGCCTTGACTGCACAGTTGTAGACATTTGTCATCTTGGCTTGGTATTTTTTAGAGACTTCGTCAAGAAGGATTGCATCACAACCATATACCAGAAAATAAGGAAAAAACCTGTAGCAGTCTTGGATGACATTTGATGAGCCCAAAGAGTATTTTGCAAATGAATGCTCCATCCTCCTTTGTACTCATAGACCATTTTGCTCAGAATCCTTAGCAAACTTTTGGTAGTTGCCTCTGCTTGGCCATTGCCTTAGGGGTAATAGGGAGTGGACTTCCAATGCTTGATCTTATACATGTCCAACAATATTTGCACATGTTGATTAATAAAAGGAGTTCCATTGTCACTGACAATTTTGTATGGGATCCCAAAATAGCAGATTATGTGCTCCTTGATAAAGTTTGACATCGCTGGACTTGTAGCATTGCGAAAAGGGATAGCCTCCACCCATTTGGTGAAATATTCAATGACCACCAATATCCAATGACCACCAATATCCAAATGTAACCCTCAGATGAAGGGTGAATGGGACCGATGAGATCCAAGCCCCAAGTATGAAAAGGCCAAGGAGTTTTCATATGTTGCAACAAATTAGGGTGGGAATGGATGAGACTAGCATGAACATGACAAGTGTGACATCGTCGAACAAAATCTACAGCATCTTGCTTCATGTTTGGCCAATAATAACCATAAGCTAAAAGTTGCTCATACAGCTTTCTCCATCCTTGATGTTCGCCGCATTCCCCTGCATGTATTTCAGCCATGACTTTCTAGGATTCTATTAATGATAAGCAATGAAGTGGTTTGTCGACGAAGCTGGTACGAAACAGAACTCCACCATCCATGAAAAATTTTGATAAGGATCTCTTTAGATTGTGTGCATCTTTCAAGGATTCTGGCCATATTCCCTCAGAGAAGTACTCCATGTAAAGATGACACCAGTCTTGAACACTATCAACAGAGAAGCATTCTTCTTTTGATAATAAATCTATTAACAGGATACACATTGTTGTTGGGATTTAATGGACTGTCGAGCCATATCTGGCCAATAGTACTATGTTCATTGGATCTGGCAATAGAGGCTCACACAACTATCGTGACCACATGTGCAATCATGGATTTCCTTAAGTTTGTGATAAGCCTCCTTATCATTGATGCACATGGCCAGATTCCGCTAGGGAATCGATAGTATAACTCGTGAGAAATAATAATATAACCAGATAGGTCCCTCAAAGGCATGCCAGAGTTTTGTTGTCGTAGGGTGCTATAAATCTCATACCGCCAGTCAGCACAGCACAGTAAGGTAGCTCAAGCAAAACAAATTTGCAACCATGATAACTAGTTTGCTCTTTGCGAACAATCTGGATGTTGAAAGGAATCTCAGCCATGGGCACTCTCGAAGTGATTGTGGCCAAGGCATCGGCCAATCAGTTCTTCATCCATGGTATCTGCTCATATCTTATGTTGGCAAAGGACTGCACCAGGTATTGGCTAAAAGAATGATATGGCATGAGATGTTCATCTCAAACAACGAAGGTACCTTGAACTTGACCAAGGATCAGACCTGAATTGCCAATGATTTTCAAGTGCTGCACACCAGCCTTTTTAGCCATAGCAAGGCCATTAACATAAGCTTCGTAGTCTGTAGTGTTGTTCGTGCACTAAAAATTAAGCTTGAATGAAAATACCATATCATGGCATTTGTCATCTCTAAGAACAACGCCAGCCCAGCCCCTTCAGTCATAGAAGAACCATCGAAGTATAATGTCCATTCTTCCTCAATTTCCTGTGCAGTAGCAACCTCACCACCCAAGACTTCGTCAGAAAGAGAATACTAGACTTCGTTAGAGAATTCATACAGCAAATCTGCAACGGCTTGCCCCTTTATGGTGGTGGGATTGATGCATGTAATATCATACTGAGACAATTGAATGAGCCAATTAGCAAGACGATCAGTGAGGATGGACCATGTTAAAAGGTAATGAATGGGCTAAGACTTGGTGATGAATTGTATCTTATGAGCTAAGAAATATTGTCGAAGGTGTTGAGATACATAAATTAATGCAAGGCAAATTTTCTCAACAAAAGGGTACCTTGATTTGGTGCCCTTGAGGTTTCTACTGACATAATAAATCGGTTGTTCCTTGCCTTCTTGTTCATCTTGGGCAACCAGTGCACTCATAGCTTTGTTAGAAGTAGACAAATAGACTTTTAGTGGTATGCCTTGGATGGGGACAGATATGATTAGCAATCTAAGCATGAGATCCTGCAGATGTGAGAAGGCATGTTGTTGCTCCGCCATCCATACGAAAGTGGCTCCTTTCTTCAGTAAAAGGCTAAATGCAGATAATATTTCTGCCAATGAAGGGATGAATCTGCGAATATATGAGATCTTGCTAATGAAGCTTCGCAACTGTTTAAGATTCTTAGGTGGCTACATGGCTTGAATAGCTTCAGACTTGGTTAGATCCACACTGATATCATGTTTACTCACAAGCCTAAGAATTTTCTAGCGGAAACATCGAATGCACACTTCGCTAAATTCATTTTCAGCTTGCATAGACAACATCTGTCGAAGACTGTCCTCAACACATCGAAGCAGCCCAATCTTGTTTTGGATTTCACCACAATGTCATCAATGTAGATTTCAATGTATATGTGGATGAAATCATGAAAGATTGCCACCATGACTCTTTGATAAGTAGCCCCCACATTTTTTAGTCCAAAAGGCATAACAACATAGTCAAAATTGCCAGTATAGGTACGAAAAGCAGTTTTCTCTACATCGTTAGGGCACATACTGATTTGGTTATATCCACTGCTGCCATCCATGAGAGAGTACATCTCGCAGCCAGTAGTATTGTCCATCAACACATCCATGTTTGGGGATAGAGAATTCATCGTTGGGGCATGCCTTATTGAGGTCGCAAAAGTCAATGCAGCACCTAATTTGCCCATTCTTCTTTCGAACTAATACAATATTAGCTAGCCAAGTAGGCTTCTTTGTTGGTTTGATGAATCCTGCAACCAAGAGCTTCTTAACTTCTTCTTTAATTTTCAGTGTAACCTTTGGATGGAAGGCATGATTTGGCTACACAACTGACTTCATACTAGGATCAACATTTAGAGAATGTGCCACCAAGGTTGGATCAAGCCCCAACATTTCATCATAGTTCCAAGTGAAAACATGGTTAAATTCTCGAAGTAGATTAACCATTTTGGCCCTTTCATCCACAAAAGAGTGGTGCTAATACGCACATGCCTGGGGTTTGTTGGGTCATCTCTAAGATCAACAGCTTGGAGTGATTTTAGAGAAGTGAGTGCTGGTTAAGCTTCATGGAGGGTTGGCAACTCGTCTAGCTATACTAGATGATCAGCTTTACTAGAAAAATCCATATGCTCAGCAAATATTTTATTTCCAACCTCAAGAGCGAGGCATGCTGCTTCGTTAGAGAGGCCTCATTTATCAATTGAAGTATCTTTCTTTGAAGTGAAGAATAAATGATCTGAAGACATGGCTACACAATTGGCAATGGGGTCATCTCGTGCATGGCTGAGAGGCCCCGCACGCCTTCATAAAGTATACTTGATTCTACCGTCCGGAAGGACAGTTCGAGTGCACTTTGGTCGTGCTTGGACAATTTTTGCTGCCTCCTTCTTCTGCCTTTTTTGTTCCAGGACACTTTGCAGATCAAGATCAAGATTGTCTTTGATGTCATTCCATGCTGGCAGGACAATGCCACCTAGGCGGGATACCATTGCTTCACCAGAAGGGGCTAACTCATCATAAAAAGAAATTTCAACGAAGTGGGTCTCAATCTGATCAAATGGCAATGGGTTGGCAGAGATGCGAAAAACCCTTCCATTTAGACGGCCCTTGACACATTGATGATAAGTAGAAGGGACAATTTTATGTTGATGCAGACATGGTCGTCCTAGCAATATATGATAAGAAACTTCTGCATCAATAACATAAAATGTAGTCTGAGATTGGATTACATCGACCTTTAACTCAAGTTGAATGTATCCAAGGGCATGCTCACTACTGTTACCAGAGCCAACAATGCTAAGTGGAGACTTGACAAGTCTTCGTTGGGGGATTCTTGTAGCGATGATGGTGCTCAGTGGTATCAAGTTGAAAGAGGATCCTGTATCAACCAGTTCACACTTGACACCGACAGAGTTGATCTAAGCAAATAAGTAAAGAGGCTTTCTATGGTTAGGATATGGCACCTCCATATCTTCGTCAGTGAATGTGGCGACATTGGAAGATTCAAGATAAGCGCGGCTAGCATGTGCATCAGCGTTGAGGCATTCTCCTCCAGCCTCACTGACAATGGAGAATATGGCCTCTGTGGCTCTTCGTCGTGCCTCGATAGTGAAACCAAGCTAATCAAATAGCATCTTAAACTTTGGAGTTCACTGGAGTGCATGGACAGAGAAGTTGGGTGTATTGTCAGGGAATTCAACTATTGGCTCGCTTGCTCCAATGCTCTCCACATGAGTGAGAACATTAACAACACCTTGGTTATGGCATGGAAGAGGATCTTCGTCCACCCTCTATCTTCTGTTTGGCACTTCTAACAATCCTTCTGAAACCCGTCGATGATACATCCTTCTCAAGGAAAAACAGTTCATGGTTGCATGGTGGACAAAGCGATGGTAGCGACAATACTTGGGGTTACGCTTGTCACCATCGTTGGGCTCGCGATGCGCCTGAGGTAGTGTGATGGCATCATCAACGATCCACTGATCTAAAAGCGCGTTTAGTTCTTCAACAGTGAGAGGAATAGGTGGTGGCAATGTCGTGTCACGATCTCTCTTTTTTTGTCCTTATCCTTCGCTGCAGATTTCTTTTCTAAGCAACGGATAGAGACAGTCAAGGTGTGAGCAACGGTTTTCTTTTCTGTTGACTTCGCTGTAGATTTCCCATTAGAGATGGCTTTGACAAAAATAGCTGTTCTCTTAGCAGCATCGAATAGCCTTGCAAATTGGTTGATCCCGATGTTTTCAAGGACAGTGCAATATTTCGGAAATATGATGTTGATGCAAATTTCCACTAAGAAGGACTCAGCATGGCCACCATAGCAATCAAGTGCCAAATCCCTGAATCTTTTCACATACCCCATTAAATCTTCACCAGGGCATTGGCGGGTGTTGTGGAGATCAAGGATGGTGATGCACTCTTCACTTTGAAAATTTTTTTGACAAAATTGTTCCACCATCTCATCCCAAGAACGGACAAAGCCGAGAGGTAGAGTGATGTACCATGTATAAGTTTTATCGAAAAGAGACTTTGACAACTCATGTAGACACAAATCTTTGTCACCGACATGAGCCCCCATGGCATCAAGGAACTTGTTGACATGTTCCGCAACACTGCCTTTCTTTCTAGCATACTACAAGAATGCAAGACTTTCATATTTTTTTGGGTATGGTCTGGACAGAATCTCCTTTGAATAGGGTGGTTCATGAATGAACTGAAAAGGGATTGTTTCGTGTTTAGAACGCTCCCTGTCCAAAAGAGCAGTAAGGTTTGCCATGGTGACATAAACTTAGGTAGAATCGATTGCATTGGGTGAAGCTCCATCGATACTGGTAGTTGCAACTACTGGTGGTGTCGAGTTGTTCGGCCGCATACTAGAACCTCCATTACCATCAGTAGCCCCAATATAGACTTTCTACGGTTGGGAAGTTCCAGCCATATTGATGGGTTGTGCTAGACCTTACGCAGCATGTTGGGTCTATATGTTGGTGAAAAGCTGAGTAGTCTTTTGCTGGTCTTTGTGTAGGACTCGGATAACTTAAACTAGGGATGCAGGGCTAGGATCGGTGATTCCTTGCAAGAGGTCATTAAAAACATCTATTGATGG